ACTGCTCAGTGTGTCACTAATATTCAGATCTGATTAAATATGAAATACAGTCTGATTTATACTTCACAGGAATAACTTGATAAATGTTTTTAGAAACCTTTAAGAAGCTTTTTTAATGTCAAACATTTCGAGGCCCGTGGGAACTCTTCCCTCCAGTTTTTGGATTGCTCGGGTTAAATCTGATTGTTTTTCGCAGTTATCTTTCCGACCACACCTATAAGAAATCAATAAGGAACAACTACAGAGTTTCACTTTTAAAATACAATAAAAACATTTTCATATAATCTGGTGAGTGGGTTTAGGTTACCTGCCGTCTTTATAAAATCCCTGTATGTTAGATTAACTGTCACTTCTTTCTCACGTTGGAACGAACCTCCTCACATCAGACCCGTTATCTGAGCGACCTGCAGCATGACATCATAAATACAGCGAGGTCTGAACCGCCTTTAAAAACACGGAGAACTCGAGAATGATCGTAGAAAATGTTCAGTTCAAGTAAGAAAAGTAGAAAACACCAAAATTCAGTTAAGTGTGTTTTGGTTTCCCGCTGCAGCAGCAGCTCGCGTCGTCGCCCTGCAGAACTCACAGGTTCCTCTCCTCGCAGGGGGCGCCAGCGGCGGCGTCCGGGCAGCGGCAGGTGAATCCGCCGAGCCGCGGCAGACACAGGTGAGAGCAGCCGCCGTTGTTGGCGCAGTAGTTATAGGCTGACGGGAGAGAGGAGGGAACAAGGTTAGAATCTGACCGGAAGCCAAAGTGAGCCTCAACAGGAAGTTCAATAAAGCTTATAAAGAAGAATGAAACGATGTTAGCCTTCAGCACGTTAGCGTGCTAACAAATGCTAGCATGTTCCAGAGCTGCAACAGTCAGTGAAAGGAAAAATAATCTGCAGCTACTTTGATGAAATGTTGGTTTCAAGCAAAAGTATTAAATATTTGATGGTTCGTGCTTCTTTTTTACAGTAAATTTAATTATTTATGTCACAGTGAATAAAACTTTTACTCTCGTATATTATAACTGCGGTCTGATGCTTTATAAAGAGCATCAGACGTCTCTTACATCAGAACAGTAACAGAAGAGGAAAGTTGATGGTTATTTAGTTTCCACTGTGGAGCGTTTAGTTTAACAGCAGCTTCTAAACTCAGCCGGTTTCATCTGAAACGACCTCCTCTGTTCTCGATCGCCGTCGTCTGCATTCAATCTCTTTGCCAAGTAAAACAGAAACGTTTCGTGAGGCTGCGGCTTCAGGAAGTGGACGAGCAGTTCATCACTGGCGGCCGCAGGTGGACGCAGGCGGTGCAGTTTGGGGCTCGGAGCCAGATGTGAGTCTCCGTATCCACAGCTGGCTCCCCCGAGGTCACTTCACCGCAGAGTTCCCACGCTTATATCCGACCACATACCATAAAGCGTCTGGAATCAATTACCACACTGCATCTGCTCTCCCACTGCACCGCTCCGGGTCCTGGTCTTCGTACGCGGGGAACAGTCTGTGCTTTACATGTAGCTGCAGCTGTTGTCATGGTAACGGGTTACTGGAAGTTACTGGACAGCGCAGTGAAATATACGTCACTAACTGCATGAAAACCGAAACAATCCTAAAAACAGCCGGTGAACCTCGGAGGGGCAGCGAGGTCGAACCTTTCCCAGGCAGACGTTGTTAAAAGTTGAATGAATCAGACGTTCTCTGACTGCAGGTGAAACCGAGCCGTACCTTGAGGACACTGTGTGGGTGTCGTGGTGATGCCGTACAGCCGGGAGCGTTTCTGCGGCAGGAACTCTTCCGTCTCTTTCTCCGACTGACGGTCCACAGCGACCACCGCCTCCCTGGGAAAACAACAACCAGGAACAGATCAGGCACAACGTTTGACGCGGGGATGAATAAAAATGAAAAAAAATCTAATTTTCAGGTTTTAGCTGCACGTTGTCAAATAAAGTTTAAAAAGCTGCAGTTCCTCTAACGGCCACTAGAGGCTCCAGCAGTCAGTCTCCATTAGGCCTCATATTAAACTTTTACAGCAGAAACAAACATGTTTACAGACTTTTGGTCTCTAGACATAATTTCCCTGTTCTGTAACTGTACAGCTGTTTAAATTATATTAAGGACTAAAGTTATGTATAATTAAGGGCGTGGCCGCTCTGAGTGACAGGTGGATTCAGGACTACCAATATGGCGTCCGCACTGAGCTTCGGATCCTCAGAAACCGTTGATATTAAAAGAATTTAGCTTCTTTAAGTTTGTGTTCAACATAAAAACCTGATTGTCTCAATGAAACCAATGTGACACAAAAAGCTTTTTATTATTAAAAATGTTTGTCTGTAAGTCTTCTTGGTTTATGATTTAATTTAATGTTTTTCTTGACGTCATTATTTTGTTTAGTTACTTAGTATTAGTTGGAACATTTCTGTACAAACACAATAATAACGGTCGTCCACACACAGTCGGGTTCAGCGTTACCTCCTCCAGTCGGTGTAGTAAAGGTTCCTCCCAAAGGAGACCAGAGAGAACGGATACTGGATCCCTTCAACGATCTTCCTCCTCAGCCTGCGGTGAGGATCCATACACTCCACCTTACGAGTACCTGCAGACAATCAATCAATCAATCAATCAATCAATCACCAGCAGGATCAGCTTTGAATCTGGTTCCTGTCTCACCTGCGTCGGCCCAACACAGCTGCTGGTTGTCCAGGTCGAAGGTCAGACCGTTGGGAAGTCCCAGGTCGTCTTTCACCAGGACGACCCGATCCGTCCCATCCATGTTGGACATCTCGATTTTAGGCCCGTCTCTATTCCAGTCGGCCCAGTACAGCCGCCTGCAGCGCCGGGACAAAGAGCGGTTAGACTGAACTCGGGGCGGAAGAACGAACGAGCCAACGGACGAGTTTCAAACTAAATAATATAGAATAAAACTATTTAAAATATAACATTTCCAGGTGATTAAACACTAATGAAAACAAACCTATAAATATTATATTAATGTTACACACTGGCCCTTTAATGTTAACGGACACTCACCCATACGCCGGGTTGGTGACGATGGGTCGGGGGTTGATGAGGTCGGTGTCGAACAGGACTCGCCGCTGGCTGCCATCCAGCTTGGAAACCTCAACGGTGTCGCGCATGGAGTCGGTCCAGAAGAGGAGACGAGCCACGTGGTCGATGGCGATGCCTTCAGGACTCTGGAGATCTGAGGACGGACAGATACAGACACTTAGCTGTAATGCTAACCAGCTAACAGATCCCATTATTCACAGTATTTAACACTCAGACACTGAGACTCTTCATCTGGGACACTGTTGGTTTGAAAGGCGTATAAATCCAGTATAGTGGAAGACTGTATGGAACAATGTGGGAATCATTTTAAATGGAGTTGACTTTGAGGACTCTAAAAGACACATTTAACAAAATTTGGAATAAATAAATAGAGTTTATAACTGTGTGAGCAGACTTCCCTCTTCTTTACAGGAATAATAGAAACACAAGCTCTCTTGGTTCTGATGTATATACTTAAACTTTTAGTGTGAGAGGGAGTGAAAATGAAAACTCCTAACAGACTGAAGTAGAAGTACACACAGAGGTTTTACATGTGGGTATCCGGCCATATATGGATGAGTTTGTGTCCTGAGTCTATGCAACCAGACTCTATTTATACAGAGAACGGACAGAGAGAGCAGATCGCTCTGAGACGTAAATATGTATATAAATATAATATATATATATATAATAAATCTGTTACTGACTCCAGTTGTCGGTTTTTTAAGTTAGAATAGCTCTGATCAACCAAACCCCATTCAGAAAACAAGCTTTTTAAAAGTTGTTTGCTCGTTGTGATTTCATCAGATCGTTATTTCAGCATCATTTTGATCCGTTTATTGACAAATTAATTAATAATATATATATAATTATTAACAAATTAAGTAATGTTTGGTTAAATCTGTATATGTGGTGGAATAAACATGGATATATTTATCTGGAAATGAGCTGATTTATGACTCTTCCTGTGCATGTGCCCAGCTTTGGGCCACTTCTTCCTGCAGTGTGAACGCAGCGTTTTATATCTGGTTCAGATCTGTCTGGCAGTACTTCCTGGGGTCGTACCTGTAGTGATGACCGGGCTGATGTCTCCTCCGCTCATCCCGGCCCTGCTGATAGCCGGCCCGGTGATGTCGGTCCAGTAAACCATCTTCTCCACGCAGTCGTAGGCCACGGCGATCACCACCCGGTCCTGAGAGGAAGCACAAGAAAAGACAGACGCTTTCATTCATCTGGAGACGCTCTCAATGAGTCTTTTGTGTGACGGGCCGTCAGCGGGGCGTCGGGCTGACGCAGAGCTTTATGTTCAGCTGCAGTCCATTAACGCCGCCTCAGAACAGAAGAAAAGAGTTCTGATGCTGAAATCTGTTGAAGAACAATTCGAGGATTGTTCCAGGAACGCTCAGAAGGGGTTCAGATACATTCAAACAACGACAGCGAGTGACCGCGTTCTGCACATACGAGGACCGAATGTCTCTTCAACGAGGAGTCTGTGTAACCAGTAACTCACAGAACCGTTTTATAATCTGAGTCTGGGGCTGATATACTCACAACGAACACGTCAAAAACATCAGTAAAGACGACATAATTAAACATGTTATCTTTCTGTCAGTCATTGAAAATCAAAAGCAACTCGTTCCAGTGAGAATAAAATCTCTGATAGGATCAATGTGAGGAGAAGTTGACTTCCTGGTTCCTGAATGAAGTGATCTGGTCTTACGGGGATGTGCAGCAGAGGTTTGGCCTCCTCCATTTTCATCTTGTACCCGTCCAGAGGAACGTGTTCGATCTTCCCGCTCTGAGCGAACAGCAGGTGTGTTCCCGGAGCGACGGGGTGGACGTCGGGCCGCGGTGTCGGACCCACCGGAGGAGGAGTCACCACCTGGTCGATACCTGTACAGGAGAGGAGAGTTTATTGGTCGGGAGTCCCTGAGAGTATAAAGGCAGGAGAGTGTGGTCAGTGAGCTCACACAGGGGGGTGCTGCCGGGGCCGGTGCGGGTGTTGGGGATCTCCTGGCCGTTGGCGTCCACACACCAGCACTGTCCGATGCTGGTGTGGCACTGCGTGGGCTCGTAGGCTCCGTGTTCGTTGCACTGAGGGACGTACTGACTGACGGCCGGCCGAGGGCGGAAGAAAGAGAAGAAGCCCGAGCCGGAGGTGGCGGTGGCGGTCTGGGCGCTCTCTCTGTGGCGCTCGCACTGCGTCTTCTCTCGCTCTGAAAACACAAAATAACAAACGTCAGCAACATGAAGGCCTCAAACCTGGGAGTCAGAGCGTGGTTAGCCTAGCTTAGCACAAAGACTGAAGGCAGGGGGAAACAGCTAGCCTGGTTCTGTCCAGTGTTCAAACTACCAACAACCTCTAAAGCCGAGATTCTCCGTACTGTAAACGCCACGCTAGCAGCAACGATCATTACACAACAGAGAACCTTTATGCAAGCTACATGCTAATAGCACATAGAGTTAGCATGGAGATATGCTAATGTTTACACCTTACAATCATCTCAAGTTCGTTTTATCCCACATTCATTTGAACTCGACATCCTTAAAGGGCCAGTATGTGATTTCTGCCAGTAGGGGCTCTCTCACAGCAAAACAATAACAAAGGTTTGATGACAATGAAGCAGTGCGGGATCATGGGAGTTGTTGTCTTTATTGGTAACACTACAGCAGGTATGGAGGGCAGGTGGAGGCTGCGGTTTCAGGCCAGTTTTGCTTTGGAGTTTCTGTTTGTTTTACTCTAACAACAACACAATAAAGGAACACGTGGCGTTCTGGGAGGCCGTTGCAGCGACTGTAGGGGAGGTTCTACATTCCTGCTCCCATTACTAATGAAAATACGATCCATCAGACTCTTTATTTCACAGCTCCAGTGTTCCTCGGCTGTATTTGGTGTTTGTCGTACGTGGCAGCTGCAGATAAACATGTGTGTGTGTGTGTGTGTGTGTGGAGAGAACCACAGATTAGAGACGAGCAGCGAGCCTCTTCATCTCTGCGGTCACATCCAGGGGCCGCAGTGACATCTGGAGGAGCCTCCTCGCACCCTTATCCTCAGGGGTATCAGCGAGACCAACCACAGAGCAGCCACAACAGACTGACAGATGGCGGCGTGTCCTCGCAGCTAGCGCCACGTTTGCTGCCGACAATCAGCTGAAGAAAGAGCAACCCCCTGAGAGAGCGAGGCCAGGGGGGGTGCGAGGATCAAAGACACAAAAGGAAGCTGCTCTCAGTGAAGAGACGCTGTGACAAGTTTTGACAGGGGACAGAAAGATTACGGCTTTCGGGGCCAGCGGGTCGTAAAAAGGACCAAAATATGACAAAACTCTGGCGCGGGGGAGCGAGCTGTAATTAGCTCTCAGCTCCCGACACCTGGAATCACTGAGGGTGTCTGCAGCTTCTGGCACGCCGCCACGCCGCCAACACGACAACAACAACAACAACAACAGAGCAGACAGAGAAACTACACCTGCTGCCAGCCAATCAGACGTCTGCGTGATAATGACACATCAGATCAGGAGGAAGAGGATTCATTTTACTGTTAACAGCTGCTGGTGGAGAGCGACTGTCTCCATTTATATTAGCATCTTAAATATATATATAAATATATATATATATAAATAATTAAAAACATTTATCTCTCAGCTGTGCGTCACCAGGAGTCTAACATGAGGTGTGTTTACGCTCTGATCACATCCTTCACCGCTCCGCCGTCCCCTCGACCGCCAACAACCTTCACACAAGTTATTTTACACACACGTGTTTACACAGCTTCCATTTGTCTCTGAAACCTCCGCCACCCACCACTAAAACCCCCCCGGGCGCCGTCTTACTGCAGCTCTTGGTCCGTCAGAAGGACCACGCTGCTGCTTCTACGTGTTTAATGCTGCAGTTTACATTCCTGCTGCCCAAAGACTCCTCCAGCTCTCACACTGATCCCTTCACTCTCTCTGTTCTTCTCCAACAAGTTTTTAATTCGATTAAAACTGTTTAGAGTCAGAAACAGACCTCTTATGAAATATGCACATATAAACAGTCACACCAGAGATGTTCACTCTGGTTATGTGATACTACTTCATATTTATACAGAGAGCGGACAAGAAAGGAGATTGTTGGAGAAAAGGAAGAGATAAAGTTTTACTTTACTATAAATTAAGTTATCATGGTCCTGATCAACCAAACTCCATTAAGAAAAGAAGCATTTTAAAAGTTGTTTAAAAGTCTTGCAGACAGAATGACAAAGTCTGAATTCAGCATCATTTTCATCTGTTTATTAACATTAAATAAATAAGAAATCTGGTTATTTTGGACTCACATTGCCACAATAAACCAGATTAAAGGCCGAATTTTTGCCAAGCAACATGATCCACTGCACTTTTGTTGGGAACATGCCATTAAAGGACCAGTGTGGAGGATTTAGTGGTGAAACTGCAGATTGCAACCATTTGGTAACTGCCCTCCAAGCGTGAGGCGGGCTCAAAACTTGTGAAAGCCGCTATCAAGAGCCAGTGTTTGTCTGTTCTCTTTCTGTTCTGGGCTACCGTAGAAACATGGCGTACTCAGAGAGTGTGTGAGATACCTACCTGAGGACGTAGGGCTGCATCGAAAGCCGTCGCCGTGGAAACCAGGCTGGCACTGGCAGGTGTACGAGCCCTGTGTGTTGGAGCACATGGCGTCGCGGTGGCATCGTTCCTGCTGACACTCGTCTACGTCTGAACAGGAAGAAAAAGGAAGCAAAGATGAAGACAAATCCACTCTTCAGGTGCTTGAAGACGCAGTACCACGCATGGCCACTAGGTGCTGGCTCCAAAAAATGTCTCTGGTGGAGAGTGATAGTGATATTCGATATTTACGCTTTGGGTGGTTAAACTCAGAAGGTGTATCTCTGGTAGGGATCCTTTCCCATAGCGATGCCTGTCAGAACTGACAGTAATGCCTAATTAAAAGCCCTGCC